GGCGCGGAGTTGGACCCCCCCCCCCGCCGACGGGTCCTCCTTGCCTGAGGTTGGACTCCAAGATCCACCGGGGGGGGGCGTCCCTTCCATCACTGCTGCTCCTTTAAGATGGTGAGGATGGCCTTCGTCAGCCTTTTCCACAAGCAGAGAACGGCTACCTTCTGGTCGTTTCTGAAGCCTCTCCCTCCCAGCGCGGCTCAATACAGCTTCCCCCTTAGAGTAACTCCGCTCTTCTCTGGCATACAAACTGAAACCAGGACGATTTCTGGGCTCCCGTAGAATCATCACCCGAGGACCTTCGCTCTTTCTTTCTTTTCCCCACGAGGTTGCATGTGCTCAGAATGAAGGAGCCAGAGTCCTACCTCCTTCCAAAATGGAACACACACACACACACAAACACAAACACACACACTTATCTCTAGACCACTGCAGCTGCCAAGAGAGCTGCTCTCCTCTCCACCCCCTCCCCACACCCCCACCCTTCACCAGCCATCCTGGCACCAAAGCTTTGAAGAGGGGGATAATTCAGGTAGGCAGTGGGCAGGGGGCACGGTGCCACTTAAAACAGGTGAGGTTGATGCATCATGGGGGAAACTACAATTCCCATCGGCAGTGACAATGCTGACTTGAGCATCCTGGGATCTGTATTCCCAAAAGGAACTTTCTCCTCTGCTGGCCATGGCTATGCTTCTGTGGCCATGGCTAGCATCACCTTGAAAGACAGATGGCTTTCTCCCTTCTCTGCTGCTTAGGAAAGCATGTGCCTTTCCTCTGATGGCATTTCCCTTCCGCAGGGGGAACCATGCAGCCCTAGGACTAAGTGGAAGAGACTTAGATCAACTTCACTCATAACTCTGCATTACGTCCACAAGATATAATGTGGAAAGTTCATCGATCTACCTGTGCAAAATGAGCTTGGACAAAGGCAACTGCAATTGGATCTCACCTTCCAAGATATACTGCCAGGCTCACAACCAACCACATCTACAGGAGTTAATGCCGGAAAGCCTGTGAACCATCCTATCAACAGCTGCAGCCCCCCTCCAAAGGCAACTCATCACTCCCTGTAGCAGGAAAAGGGCTGTCTGTCAAAGAACAGACCCTTGGCGTGGACAATGCAGGCGCTTCATCATTACAGCATCAACACAGATGCTTCTGCTCGTGGCCAGCAAGCAGTCCAGACCATTAAAAGGCATTTAAAATCCCACTGCAGAAAACAAGCCCTAGGAGCCAGGTGAGAAATCCAGAGACAACTGCAAAGCTTGAGGGGGGGGGGCGGAAGAGAGCAGATGGTGCCCATCCACAATGTCAGCCTCACCCCTGGATGTTAAGTAACTTCCAGCACCAGCAACCCCTGCTCTGGCGTTTCCTAGGCAACCACAAAAGAGCTTCTTCCTCCAGTTCTGCCATCATCAGCACAAAAATGGTTACTTTTGCTCCTCCCGCAGTGTCTCTGAGTCACTTCTGAAAAGGCAGATATGAGAAAAGGGAAGGGGGGGCCTTCCCCTAGGTAGGGGCCACTTGAGGACAAACAGCAAAGATACTAACTCCAGGAAACCCTTCCCGGCTCCCCATTTCTCTCCCTGTTCTTTCCCTAAACTGGGAAGCGGGCCCCTGACTGGCCCCAGACGTCGCTGGGGCTGGCCCTTGTTCACACGGGCATTCCTGGCTGTCTCTTGGCACGCACGCGCCCCCCAAATCACCCCAGGGGCCCCCAAGGGCTTGGCTTTGAAAACATAATGGTAGAGACGCCCCAACCCCAACCCCGAACCACCTCATCCTTTGGACGCCATTCTATTTGCAAAAAGTAACCTGACTTGTCCCGGCCCGTCCATCTGACGGGCGAGTCACCAGACAGCCTAGTCTGCTTGTGTAGGTGAGGACAAAGGTGTGGGCAAAGAAGGACCGTTTTATCCTTCTCTGGTGGCAAGATGTCTTGATCCGTCCTGGACAGCACTCCTTCCTCTGTTGTATCACACAGCGTGTTGTCAGCCAGGACTGTGATTGTCCCCTTCGATGCACACGTTTGCCCATCTGTGCTTGCACATCCACTTTTGTGAAAAGGGGTGTGTAGGGATTGGGAGCCAAACGGTCCACCGCAGCACATGGCCTGGGTTGTGGAATGGAGGCCCACCAGGTTCTCAATGATTTCCTGGTTTGTTTGTTTTTTCATCTCTTGATGGCTTTACAGAAGCAGATGCTTTATGAAACTTTCGGTGATATTTGGCCTGACAGGTTGTCTGTGGTGCAAATCACGGGTAGCTGGGTGAGGAGGTGGGGGCTTCCTTGCTCAGCCTATCAGCCAGTAGGCCGGTGCAGAAGGGAAGCTGGACCGCTATCTCAGAAGGTGGCGGCAATGCCAAAGGAAGAGGAGGAGGGGGCAGGACCAGGAAAGGAGGCAACGGGAGTGGAGGGAAAGGGGTGGGGGCATTTGTTTTGCCAAATGGAGCACCAAATGGAAAAAAAGTTTGGCACTTTGTTTCGAGAAAACAGAAGGCATGGATTGAACCGTGAACCAAACTACAAACCAACCCAGTTCTTGAATTGTTTTGGTTCATCATTTGGCTCATGCCCATCTCTAATCCAGACCTAGTTAGAGTGGGACTGTTGAAATCTATGGAAATTACCCATATTTTTCCGTGTATAAGACGCCTCCCACTTTTCTAATCCAAAATTGACATCTAAGTGGGGCTAAGCAAGTGCAGGGGGAAAGGGATCAAGGTGCTGCCGGATCACTCCGCCTTCCCTGGGCCCGCCCCCAGCGCCGAGCCAGGAGGAAGAGGAGGAGGAGGAGGAAGAGCTCCTGCAGGGGATTATTTCAGTTTTTTATTTTTACTTCCCTCTATCGTCCTAAAAGATTTCAGTTTGTTGTTCAACTGACTTGTTGTAGAGCTCATAGGTCTCATTAAAGGTGGAAAAAGTTTCGAAATGATTTATCTTTGTGTCTTTTTTTAAAATAGCCCCTTGACATTTTAACAGGGGTGTGTAAGATTTTTATATCCACTGTATAAGTGCATCATTAGTTGGTAGTCAGTGGACTTTTCTCATAGATTCTTCCTCCCCTATCGAACAAAATGAATCTCTCCTTTTAGAGGAATGTAGATAATAATGGGATATGGCAATTAATGATTAACTGAGATATGAAAGAAAAATAAGAAGAGATCTATCAAAAATAATGATTTTTTAAAAAACGTGGAATGTATTTCTGGAATATGTATTTCAGAGAGGGAAGGGATATACACCAAGGGAAGAAACAATGAAGTTGTGGAGGGAAAATGGATTGAACGAAATTTGAAATTATTATGAATACTAGCCCTGAGGGTGAACACTGGTGTATTATGTAATTGTATTTTATTGTAAAATAAATTTATTGTATAAATTATTATTTATTGCATAAATTATTTATTGTATAGAATAGCAGCTTCCCATTAGTTTCTATGGACGGAAAAGAGCAGATACGGATCAAATGGTTTTCAATGCATTCCTATGGGAAATGCAGATTTGACTTGAGAACATTTTGACTTGAGAACCGCCTTCCAATACGGATTAAGTTCTCAAGTCAAGACCCCACAAGAAGAGATCTATCAAAAATAATGATTTTTTAAAAAACGTGGAATGTATTTCTGGAATATGTATTTCAGAGAGGGAAGGGATATACACCAAGGGAAGAAACAATGAAGTTGTGGAGGGAAAATGGATTGAACGAAATTTGAAATTATTATGAATACTAGCCCTGAGGGTGAAACTGGTGTATTATGTAATTGTATTTTATTGTAAAATAAATTTATTGTATAAATTATTATTTATTGCATAAATTATTTATTGTATAAATAAAATAAATAAATAAATAGTGTTAGGTGTATGTTCCCTATGTTAAATGTTCATTATTATTTTTTTTTAAAATGCATCTTTCCTGATTATTTCCATATGCAGAAAGTGAATTTCCCTACAAAATTAGTATATAAGACTATGCCGTGAAAAATTTTGACAGCTATAGCAGGATGTCTGGGCATCTTGCGCCAGCACTGTCTAGGCCAGGGGTTTTAAACTCAATTTACCTGGGGGCCGCTAGAGGCAGAGTCTGGGTGAGGCTGGGCCGCATCAGATTTTCCGCCAAGCAGAGCAAGAGCCCGAGGAAGCCGCCCAGGCTTCTCCTCCTTCCGGCTTGCTGCTTTCCCCTCGGCCTTCATTCTCCACTCTGGACATGTTGTTTACTCATTTTTCTGTGCTTAGGAAGTGGCAGACAGGCATCGGTAGGTAGGGGTGCTGCCGGAAAAATTGCAAACTGGAAAGGGGAGGAACACAGAGAGAAGGCCTGCATTTTCCTTTCCTTTCCTTTCTTTTTTCTCCAGGAGAACACGGAAAAGGCCACAATCCCAGTGCCGGTGGCTCCTCGAGGATAACTTAGGAGAATTAGGAGGAAAGAGGCGTCGAGAACTCTGGGTTCTTGAGAAAGGACATTCTCCTCTTGGGGCTGTTTATAAGAGGTATTGAAACTGGTTTTTAATGTTTTTTTCTTTTATTTTTGTTTTACGTGCTGTAGCCCACACAGACTAGTGATGTGGCGCTAAGGGGAGCGGGATTCAAATTGAATAAATAAAAAAATAAAATTCATCTGTTTCTTAATATCCTAGTAAAGTGTGTTCTTTAAAGTACGTTCATCGCCAGCCGGTTTTACATCTGAACTTGCATGGATAATGGGTAAGGGTGAATGTGCAAAGGGGTTGCCAATAACACCCGAAAATTCTCATCCCCCCCACCTGCATTCTTTTTTGTGAGTGCATGTGTTACTTCTTAGACTTCAGGAAATGGCTTTGGGACCATGAGTTTCTTCTCTTATTTTATTTTATTTTATTTTATTTAGTTATTTATTTGTTTGTTTCTTTATTTATTTGATTTATACCCCGCCTATCAGGTCTACTCGACCACTCTAGGCGGCTCATGTCAGATCTTAAGATTGTCCAGGGAGGCCCTTTTCTTGATCGCATCAGTTTTACATTTGATAAAAAACAAACAGTTATGCTACCAAAAGGTGGCATGAAAGTGCAATAACTCAATAAACAGAATTATTGGTGTGCACAAAAAAAGAAATAGGTATATAAAGCTGCTACCATGTGGTACAGCCATACAAGAGCCTAAAGGTCAAAAACACATAGAAGTAATCAAAATTCAAACCAATTTAAAGGATGCTCGTTTCTAAAGAAATCTATTTTTGTTTCTGGTACCTAAATCGTAGACACATCTCTTGCACAGTGCCATGTGTGCCTCTTCTACACATAAATATTACCTGCAGAACAAATGGTCTTTACATGAAACAGCCCTATAGATATGATAATGAAAGCTTAAATGCGTGTAGTATAAACAAATGGAATCTGATGCAATGATTGCCAAATTCTTACCTCTTTCACTAGCATCATCTACAAGAATAATTTCTTCCAGCATGTGTCGTGGTGATCGGTTTATAACACTATGAACAGTTCTCAAGAGAGTACTCCAAGCTTCATTGTGAAAGACAATGACAACACTTGTTGTAGGAAGGTTATCTGGATATACTTTTGTCTTACACCTAAGAACATACAAATGAAGTAAACCTGTAATAAATGCATTTATACCACATTTGAATGCAGCTTAATATACATGTTGACAGTGTGCAATATAGTAAGAATTCTTATGACTTTTTCCCCAGCATCATAAATGGCTGGGGAAATACTGACTTAATTTTATTAGCAATGTGCAAGGGAGTAGAGGCACCGGCTAGCCCGCTTGGACTCAGAGGGCCTTTCATGCTGAAGTTCTAGCCTTCAGAACTCACAGGGCAGGTCCTCTGGGCCCGCCTCTTCCTGGAAGTTGCCCTGGAGCCGTTCTAGCCTTTTGAAATCAGAGGGCAGGTCCTCCAGGCCCGCCTCTTCCTGTTACGTCGCTATGGAGCCGCTCCCAGCCAATGTAAATCGGAGGGCAGGTCCTCCAGGTCCGCCTCTTCCTGTCCCGTTGCCATGGCGACACTGGGACGCTAAAGGCCAGTGCGTCACACTTTTCCTTCCCCACCGTGTCTCCCCATTATTTGTCCGGCCTGCCCCTGCGGC